GCTGCAAGGCTTGGGGGGCGGGCGGTTGCATCTGATAGCCCTCTAGGCGCAGGTGCTAGAAGGCGGCAAGCGGCAGGAAAGTGGCAAAAGGCGGGCGAATGCGGGCAGGAAGAAGGAATCTGCTCCCGGCAGGAATCGAACAGGGGTGTCACAATTGCACCGGCTGTCGACGTCAGCCCCCCTCAGCCGAGGGCTGAGGGTGTCAGCACCCTCAGCCGGGGGCTGAGGGTGTCAGCACAAGCTGGGCCTTCGGCCCGAAGGGCGCTGACACCCTGTGGTGGGGGGGGTAGGGGAGGGGGTAGGGGGTGTGGGGGAGGGGGGGGGGGGGGGGGGCAGGGGCCAGGGGGTAGGGGGGGGGCCAGGGCTAGGGGGTAGGGGGGGGCCAAGGGCTAGGGGGTAGGGGGGGGCCAGGGGGTAGGGGGTAAGGCGGGGGTAGGGGGTAGGGGGAAGGGAGTAGCGCGGTTTGGGGCTAGGGGGCAGGGCGGACTCAGCGGTGCCCGGTGGGAAGGTGTTATGGAAGGCAGCGGTGCTGCCGTTGTGGTGTTGCCCCGCCCGCCGGAAAGTAAATAGGAGGGTGCAGTAATGCAGCTGTAAGTAGTGTAGGGGGCAGGTGCAGGGATGTTGTACTGCAGCCTGTATGACGCATGGACGCAACACGTCAACCTAGTTGAGGAGCGAGCGAGGTCATTTGGCAGACACGCACGCCAGGCTTGCATGGCGTGGAGCGTCCAGTCGGTGTTGTACAATCCGTGGAGGCAGTAAAGGCCGCCGAGGGGGAAGGGAGGATTGAGGGTGTTGCGGGTAGGGGTCGCTGTGGTTTGTGGGTGTTATTGATGCTGGCTCGGGTGGCGCGGGGTGGGAAGGCTGCCCTGGTGCTGCCAGTGTTGCTGGGGTTGCTGGCGGTGGTGCTACAGTGGCCGGACAGGCAGGTCACGCCGCGCTCCCAGCCGCCGCCGCCCCCTGGCACGTCAGCATGGCGGCGGCCAGCCGGGCGTGCACGTCGGCCACCTGCACCCCAGCCCCGGCGTAGAGCATGCAGGCACGGGCGGCTGGCACTCCGAGGCAGTGGCGCGCCTGCCGTGGCTCGGTGGGCTCGAACATGTCGCTGTCGTACCACGGGTGCATGCAGCAGGGGGCCGCGAGGCGCCGCCGCTGCCCGCAGGCCTGGCGCCCACAGCGCCGTGGCGGCCCCCTGGGGCTCCGGGCTCGAGCGAGGGCAGTGGGGGGTGGCGGCGGCCCGGGCCTCCTCCTGGGCTGGAACGTGGCGCGGTCGTACCACGGGGGCATGCAGCAGGCGGCCGCGAGGTTGCTCCCCTCGGGGCTGGCGGAGGCGCTGGCCACCGCCAGGCGCAGGCGCCTCAGGCCAGTTGCCCACGGGCGCCTTGCCCCAGGCCGCGAAGGCCCGCCCCCAGCCCTCCTCCACTGACAGGGCGACCAGGGGGTCATCGGCCTCGTCGGCCCGGCGGCTGGCCCGCCAGCAGCACAGCGGCCCCACCCCAGGGGGCCCCTGGCCACACGGCGGCAGAGCCCACCAGCCGGCGACCTCCTTGTCTCGGCCCACCCCGTCGGGGGCCTCCCAGGCGGCCGCGGGTGCTGCTGGCATGCTGGCGCTGCATGTCAGGGCGGCGAGTTGCGGGAAGCCCCGAAGTGCGGCGGGAGGGCACGCGAATTCGAGGCTGGGCCGGCCTTGTTTGAGTTACGGGCAGGGTGACCCACGGGTCCGCAGGCAGCAGCGCAGCGGCAGTGGCACTTGAGGCTTCTCCTATTGGAATGGACGGCAAGCCTAGGGACAACACGGCCCGGCGGCTGGCCCGCCAGCAGCACAGCGGCCCCACCCCAGGGGTCCCTGGCCACCCGGCGGCAGAGGCCACGAGCCGGCGACCTCCTTGTCTCGGCCCACCCCGTTGGGGGCCTCCCAGGCGGCCGTGGGCGCTGCTGGCATGCTGGCGCTGCATGTGAGGGCGGCGAGTTGCGGGAAGCCCCGAGGTGCGGCGGGAGGGCACGCGAATTCGAGGCTGGGCCGGCCTTGTTTGAGTTACGGGCAGGGTGACCCACGGGTCCGCAGGCAGCAGCGCAGCGGCAGTGGCACTTGAGGCTTTTCCTATTGGAATGGACGGCAAGCCTAGGGACAACACGGCCCGGCGGCTGGCCCGCCAGCAGCACAGCGGCCCCACCCCAGGGGCGAGGGGCTTGCGATGTGAAAGGGCAACTTGGGCGCTGCTGGCATGCTGCCGCTGCATGTGAGGGGGGCGCTGCGTCGGGCGGTGGGAGGGCTTGGCGAGTTGCGGGAAGGCCCGAAGTGCGGCGTGATTGCAGGCGGGGCCGGCCTTGTTTGAGGCATGGGTTCGCAGGCAGCAGCGCAGCGGCAGCGGCGCTTTAGGCTGCTCTTATTGGAATGGATGCCAAGCCTAGGGCCTGTGGTCCAACCACAGACCTCCGGCGCTCAGAGGAAGTTTGGAAGGGAGACCCGGGGTGTACGAGGTAGGGGCTTGCATACACGGCTCGGAGGGGGGTTCGCGGGGAAGGGGCTAGGGGCTTGTACGGCTGGGAAGGGGGCTAGGGGGGTAGGGGCTAGGGGCTTGCACGGCTCGGAAGGGGGCTAGGGGGGTAGGGGCTAGGGGCTTGCACGGCTCGGAGGGGGGCTAGGGGGGTAGGGGCTAGGGGCTTGCACGGCTCGGAAGGTGCTAGGGGGAGTTGCCATTTTTCTTTTGTGAGGTTATGTTGTTTTTCGGTACCGCGCTGAAAGGCATGAAGCCAGGTATAAATAGTTTTGCAAAGCGGCGCCTGGTGAAGAAGTTTGGGGAAGAAGTTTGGAAATTTGGCTTGTCATCAAAAGCCAATATCTTCCTGGCGCCGCAGCGTTTTCAGGCGCCGTTTGCTGCTTATTAATGCAGGCTCTATGGCAATGATATTTGCCTAAATGGCGGTAGGTTAAACGCCTCCTATGCAAAAGCACGCGAGAGGTAGGGCCTTCCTCCCTAGGCCCTTCCCCCCTAGCCCTGTTCCCGTTTGGCGCCGGCTGCAAGGCTTGGGGGGCGGGCGGTTGCGTCTGATAGCCCTCTAGGCGCAGGTGCTAGAAAGCGGGAAGCGGCAGTAACGCGGCAAAAGGCGGGCGAATGCGGGCAGGAAGAAGGAATCTGCTCCCGACAGGAATCGAGCAGGGGTGTGACAACTAGCCGAGCTGTCGACGTCAGCCCCCCTCAGCAGGGCTGAGGGTGTCAGCACGTTTTTCTTTAGCAGCTCGGGCCTTGGTCATGACATCGATGCCATCATCCCCCAGGGAAGGCCCTGCAAGTCCACGGCAGTACCCTGAAGCAGCAGAATTGCGGCAGCATTGGAATAATGTATGGGAGTCTACATACACACTCTGGGAAAACCAGGGTCCACCCATTCGTAAAATGGGGGTCTACCTTTCCGTATTTTGACCCCATTTTACGGAAGGGTATCTTCCGTAAAGGCGGACAGAGAATACGGAAAGGGATACGAATGGTGGGGAAAGGTTTACGAATTGCCTGTAATGCAGGAGTCCCACGGTTACATGCACTAGAGTGAATGTGAACACTTCCGCATAGTGTCCGGAGCACGTGTAGCACAAACAGGCGGTAGCATGCTATGCCCCCTGTACCTCGAATACGGAAGCAACTCTCATTTTACGGATGGGGACTGCAAGAATACGGCACTATTATACGGATGGAATACGAAATTTTACGGATAGCCCACGAGGGAATACGGAGCCCTGTCAGTAAGGATACGCAGCTTGTTAGACGATCGTAGGAGATGCGTCATATGATTTTGAACTCCACCATTTCGTTACATGGTCAGAAGCTGCATATGAGCCTAGTCCCTTCCTCCTTTTTACGAATGCTCACCACCATTATACGAAGGGACCACGCCCCTGGAAGCCCCACGCCCCCAATGCAATCCATAAGCTAGCTTACCATAGTCCAATATCTACTCCATTGCCTATCTATATCAAACATCTTGCCTACAGTCCCTGAACTAACCTACTCCAACGCCCCTGCAACGAAATAGGATCATGCACGTCAAAAATTGCAGGTAGATAAGAAGTATGGTCATGGGTATCAGGTTTGTGCTATCAAGTCATCCAAGCTTATAATAATAAATCATCCAAGCAATCACGGCCAAACCAATACAAAAGGTACACCACGTGAAGCCAACCCAACCCAACTTTGGATCACCTATCTACGAACCATGTTTCCACTCACAGCTACTCTATGCCCATTGCAAACAACCTACTCCCAGTCTGCCTCTATCTAGCGGTTAGCCTGCACACGCCGAGACTGGCCACTCGACCCAGTTCCTGCCTTGGGCACCTTTGCCGCCCCAACTGCTGCCTGCTGCTTCTTACCCCGCTGCTGCTGCTGCTCTAGTTCCTGCTGCCTACGGTCCTGCTGCCGGTTTCCGCCCGCCCGTTCGCCGCTGCTGCCACTGCTTCCACCGCCGCTGCTGCTGCTGCTGTCATCCGATGTATCCCGGACACTCACGTCATCCTCCTGCCCCTCCCCAGTAGACTCCCCGCTTGCCTCCTCGTCGTCCTCCATTTCCTCGTCACCCCCATCCTCCTCTTCTTCCGACTCAACCACTGCCGCCACCCTCCCCCCGCCCCTGCCGCCCCGCCCACGCCCTCTTCCACCGCCAACTTCTCCCCTCCCGCTACCACCACCACGACCGCTCTTCGCCACCTTAGCAGCCCCGGTCCGCTGCTTCTTCCTGCCACCACGGGCTCCGAGGTCGTCATCCAGACCAGACGCCCGCTGCCGACCCCGTGGCGCACGCTGCTGCACTGGCGGCTCGACACCAAAGACATCCAAGTTAATCAGCGCCAGATACGGCTCCTCCTGCGGGACAACATGGGATAAGAAAGGGGCGGTTCAGCACATTGCACCCAATACCCGTTTCAAATGCTCAGAAGATGCGAGGTATGTGAGCCATGCAGTCCTTAGCCAAATGTCTACCCACGAAGGCTTCACATTGACGTACCTCTTCGTCGCTGTGCGCTGTGGTGGCCGCCGCACCAGGCTGGGCCGCACCTTGATCCTGAAGGGCCCATTATAGGCAGCATGTAACTGTTAACCGCAAGCAAGCATACTCTCAAACAAGCCATGTGATTGTAAGATCAAGGTCACCAGAATAGTCCTTCCCACGGCTCCCCCCCCCCCCCCGTATATGCTCACCAAGGGCGCGGCCACTCCCTCACCAGCACCTCCAGCACCCCCTGCGGCACCGCCTGTGGCGCCACCAGCAGCACCGCCACCTCCGTCGACCTCAATCCGAACGCCTACGCCACCAGCCGTGTTGGGGATTGTGTTGACGGACGGAGGCTCCGGCGCGATGCCAAAGAAGCGCCGCGCCAATGCCACCACTGGCCGAGCGGGCGGATTGCCTGCATATGGCGCCAGTGTGTTACGTAAAAAGCACGTTCTTTGCGCTGGGAAAACACCACTGTGGTTGCATGTCCCCAGTGAAAGCAAGCGCCCACCCTACGCCCGAGACCCAAGCAGCCGTTGCATGTGACCCACCAGATTTCCTAGCCGCCCGGTACTGGTTGATAAGCTCCCCAGCTTCCCTGTACGAGGATGAAGCTCCCACCGCCAGTAGCAGCCCCAACGGTGCGATTGGAGCATCCTTCTTGCACAGCGCGCCAAGGCGCCCAGCGTACTGCAAGTACATGGACTGCCGCATCCTCGTGGCGGCCCTACCAGCATTGCCCTTGATAGGGCACTTGTTCAGCAAGTCGATAGGGTACTGTCCCTGCCCGTCCTTGCTGTACAAGAGCCCCGCCTCCAGTACGTACTGCAAGTGGGTGCATTGGGTGGACCTACCCCTTACGCCCTCCATTGCCGCTGCAACCTCCTCATCCGCCTGTGGCATGAGTGGCAACGACACGACACGGGAGAATAACTTGGCCGGTACACTGTGTTGGGTATAGAATGTCGCAAAGGAACAAGCAAGCAGTCACCATACACTGTCCCATGCACAATTATCGGGCAAATCTAACATTACGCCTTCCTAACATTATGAATCATACCCTTATCTGTGCCCATATGTACAACATACCGTATCCGAGCCCACGCCCCGTTCACCTGCCCCTTGGACTCAAAGTACTCCTTGCAGGACTTGCTGAGCTTCTCCGTATAGCTAGCAGCTTGAGACGCACCCCCGCCCACAATCGCGTATCCCGTGTAGAGGCTGGACCCGCGCATGGCCATCGTCTTGATATTTGCCACGTAAGCCTCCTTGTCCTGCAAATCCTTCCTCGGGTCGTTCACGCCCTTGCCCTTGCCACATTCGTTGGCCTTGGCGGTGGACGAGTAACTGAGGAACTATCTTGCCGGGCCCCGTTAACATGTTGCCGCCCCGCACTTACCCGCGAGCAGGTCCGTGTACGCAATCCCGTGCGCATTTGACATGTCGCTGAGGGTGACAAGGTGCCCACTGCCAGCATCCCGTGGCCAGACCCCGTGTGCGACTGCAGCAGCAGGTTACATAGGGTAAAAGGCGGTGGTCGACAGGAACTAAGAATGGGCATGGTTGCAGGGGGTAGCATGCATTGCAATATGTATGGAAGTACACAGTAGGCAGCATGTAGTGGCGCCACCACCAATTGAGCCCTAAACCCGGCCTTACTCACCTTCTCTCACCAACGAGTTCTGGCCGTTCCTGCACTCAGCGTCAATTGCTTTGCAATACTGGATGCGCTGCGATTGGGTCACAGCTGGGTCCAGTAGCCCAGACACAGCCGTCTCCAATTTGCCAAATGTCATCGTGGCACTTTTTGAGCGGGTCGCCTCCGTTCCTGCTGTGACCCCCGTTGCATTGGTGAGGGTGGAAGGCGCTGCCCTTGCCGCCAGGTTGTCCGCCTGTACCCGGGTGAGCCTGTGCAAGGAGGTGCAGCGCCACGGTCACGTCACATAGGCCCATCACAGGTGGGTTTGCAAACAGCTAAGCCCCAGTGCCGGGAGATCGTTCCCATACACGTCTTGTCAGAGGAACATGTCGCACCAGCAAGCTACGCAAACATGGGCCTGCAATCCTGCCGAATCCCCCGTTTTATGCTTGTCGATCCGTATTATGACGGTGTAATTTCGTAAAGTGTCCCAAACCCCCTCCACACTCACCCGTCATATCCGGACTGCTCTGTTCCTGCCACACGGCACGCCTTGCTGTGGGAAAGTGTCCAAGTCACCATGCTGCCGTCCTCGTTAACGGCAAAGCTGCCGCATACTAGCATGGTGCACTTGAATTCCTCCAATGCCGCCACGACATCCGCGCGGCAACAAAAGCGCCGCAGGACATGGTCCTTAAGTACCAGAGCGATGCTAGCAACGATCCGTGCACTCTGTTGGCTCACGCCACCCTCTGTGGGCGAACATTGACCAGCGACATTGTTAAACAGAGTCCTTACTACAAGTCCGCATACAAGTGTTGCAACTGGAATATGTCCTACCTTCATAAAGGAAGAAGGTATCAGCTGAACCGTTTTGAAGAGCAGCCGCCAGGGAGTCCTCGGTCCATGGACACATGGCAAGCGGGAGCCTGTCATGCAGGCACGTTCCCTCCACGGACTTTGATACTATTTCCAGCATAATGTTCGTTCTTAGGAAAGGACGGAAGGTTGACGTCCATAGGAGCCGCGCCCGTCGCCAAGGCCATTGTTGACCTCACAAGCTAAATTCCTATTTACCAGTGAACATGACTTTCTATCGCAATGGTATAGTATGTCTAAATAGCTATGTGGATATGACTATGAAAGGAAGAGTCCGGGCGCAGTTTGAAGTATACTCGGTGTGGTACAGCATGTAAACTTACAAACCCCAGATTGCGATTCGCTAACTATATTGATATACATGATATACTGCAAGCAAGTATGACCATCTCGTGTAACTGGTGGACCTTTACAGGAATAGTGGGTGGCTGCAATGGGGCATGCGGTTGTGCTTCCCTTCCCTTCCGCTGCTGGCTATCTGGCAAGGGGCAGGGGCAGCCCCACGTGGGTGGCTTTAATTGTTCCGCTTCGTTCCCTTCCGTTCATCCCCTTCCGCTGCTGGCTATCTGGCCAGGGGAAGGGGGGACTGCTTAGGACCTGTGCTACCTAGATGTGGCTGCTATGCATGCATGCTTCCCTGTGCAATTCAGGGGCAGTGAGTGGCTGCAATGGGAAGTGCGGTTGCGCTTCTCTTCCCTTCCGCTGCTGGCTGTCTGGCCAGGGGAAGGGGGGACTGCTTAGGACCTGTGCTACCTAGATGTGGCTGCTATGCATGCATGCTTCCCTGTGCAATTCAGGGGCAGTGAGTGGCTGCAATGGGAAGTGCGGTTCCAGGGTTGCACTACGCCTCCGTTACAAACATCCGTGCATCCTGCAGTCAATGTTCCTTCTGCCCTGGGAGGGCCCTAGGATGGCCCGCGCCAGACTAGTACACCCCTCCCATTCACCAGTCAGTGAAGTGCGTGTACGGCATGAAATACATGAGGCCCTGCCGGTCGCCCTGCGGTGCGGCAATGCAGAATTTGCCATTGAGCTCGCTCAGTGGAATGCCGAAGTCACGCCACATCTCCCAAGTGCTCCCACGCCCTGCTGTCGCGGCCGCATCCATGTCAACCACGACGAGGCCACCGCTAAACTCCTTGGCCGAGTACACGTCAGCTACCGCAAACCGCAACTCCTTTGCTGTCTCGTGACCTGGTAGGTGTACGAAGTACTTGAGGTGGGCCACATACGTACGTACGACCGTACGCTCGGCCGCGCCTGTACCTTCTGTCACCTCGGCCTTGTATGCCGCCCAGCAAGTGACCCGGCGCCGTTGTCGGTTGTATTCCGACCCGTGGTACATCTCTTCATCCGGCGCCTCGGCCCGCGAAAAGTGTCTTGCTTTTGGGGCCCCCGTTGGCTCGGCATTGAGGACGCCGCCAAGCAGGTCCGCGTTTATGCCGTAACCCCGAGCTGCCCCAGCAGACCACGAACCGACGTCCGGGAGAGTAGTCGCGTACCACTTGACCATGCTTCCTACAGCAGTCTCCACCTGCTTGACCCGGGAGTCATCCTTATGCACCGCCGCACCAATGCCGATAAGGTAGCCATCTCCGCCCATGGTATCAAAGCGGGCGTCGTCCAGTGGTTTAGAATGCCGTCCCACCAGCTCTGCAAGCTGTTGTCGAGCAGTGGGGGCTTCACCGTTGGCGTCAGCGGCTGGTACAGCAAGTGAGTTGGCGTGGCGCATGAGACACAGCCATTGCGCGAAGTGCTTCTCTGGGGCCTGTGAGACCCGTCGGCCGCCCTGGCTCTTCATCTGCTGCATGACACGCTCCACGGGCATGTCGGTCATTGCAGACGTCGAGCCAAGCTCGGCCTCTTGCCGCTCAAGCCTGCAAGAACACGGAACCGCCATGGCTGTATATATATACGGAGGAACGTGCCGCTGCAGCGGCAGCGGCAGCTGCAAAGCTGGTCGGCAGTAAGGACGAGGGGCTCGTCCAGGAGTCTGCTCAGCGGCTGCTGCGGCGTGCTGCAGAGACCGGGGGTTCGGAGAGCTTCGAGGGGTGCGTGGTCCTTTTCAACAAGGGCTACATCGCGTGGATGGAGAACCGCATCAGGGCGGAGGTGGCAGTAGCAAAAGCGCTGCAGGTACGTCTTTCTACACCTAGGATATGACGTGCTGTAATACTTGCTGTAATACTTCCTGCACGGTTACTTGTGTTGAGTTGTTTTAGCAATGGGGGAATTGCTATCTCCTGCGACACTCCTGCAAATTTTAGCGCATTGAGTTTTGCACTCCCTCCTGCGATCCGCCGTGCAGAAGGAGGAGGGTGGCATTGCCCGCATGGGTGAGGGCTTGACTGCTCTATACAAGCGCAGGCTGGATTCCACGGTGCGCATTGCCACCATCCGGTCTTTGCTGGAGGATGGAGGCGGGGTCAACTCTCTGCTGGCGACCGGAGCCACTGTCCAGTGGCGGCAAAAGATGTGCAGTTTGCTGGGGGGCATCGCAACACCAGCTAGCACGGCTCAGGCTGGCGGGAGCTCCAACAGCTCGGGAACCTGCGTGGAGAGCAAGCAGCGTGGGGAAGGCGGTGTGCGGGGTCGAAAGAGGAAGTGCATGGCCTAGGGGGAGGTGGCATGTACAATGCATGGGAGGCAGGAGTCATGGTAGGTCAGGCTAGGTTAGACAGGGTAGGCTAGGTTGGGTTAGGCTAGGCTATAGGTAGGGCAACTAGGACCTCGAATTTGCATTTTTGCAGGGAGTGTTACTTGTGTGTGCCGGGCCAAACATGGTGACTTGTGCATGCTGTGGTGCCGAATGTATTGTGTGCCAGTATCGTGTCACCACGGCCGCTTACAGCGGGTCCGCCGGCATGGCTTAGGCTTTAAAATGCTTTATTAGACCGCGTGCAGAGCTCGCGGGTGCACTGTTGGCGTGCGTAGGTGCGTGTGTTTGCAGGACCAAACATGACTTGACTTGTGCATGCTGGGCCTAAGGTACTTTGTATCATGCCAGTCTCGTGGCACCACGGCATGCAGACACGTAGGTATAGAGCAGTATGTATTGTAGGGTTACGCTATGGTTAGGTAGGCATGTCCGTGCAGTGTATGTTAACTTAAATATTGGCAAAATATTGGCCATGCTGGCATGAGGGGCCGGTTTCTTCGTATGAGAGTCGTGTGGTGATGTGGTGGCGGAACGTGAAGTGACCTGCCATTGGGTGACGGGTCCTTCCGTGCTTTTCCCAGAGCACACTTTGGATGAGTTGTGTATGTAAGGTACCACCTGTCCATGCCGCATGGTAATTTGCGCAAACCTGTCAGAACAATTTCATAAGGACTCCTGAAGCACGTCGTATACCTGCATTACACCTGTTCTCGGCTGGGGATACTCCGTATTATGGGCCAGTGCCAGGATACGGACGGGTGTCCCAATTTTACGAATCGTGCCAGATGGAATACGGAAAACAGGGAGTCAGAGTGCGTGTGTGCACATGTGTGCACTTTAGGTGGGGCGTGGATTTTAACACAATATAGGACTTAAATACACCCAGTGAGAGGGTTAGGTGCATGTCTGTGTGAACACCATTCGTAAAGCCCACATGGCCTAGAATACGAATGGTTTGGCCTAGATTACGAATTCTCCCCAAAATACGAACGCTCCGTTTTCCCAGAGTGACAGGGTATGGCAGCCAAAGGCCAGACCCATGGACCGTGCAATGACAAGCTCTGCTGAAAGACCTCTCCTGCCCTGCCGCCAGAAACGAACTTTTGTAGGCCTTCTCCATAACTCCTCCTTGGGGCCCGGAGGAAGAACTACGACTTCAACATTAGACACCCTTTGTTTTGGCGTGGAGGGTGTATGTAAGCAAGGGTGGGCAGGGGAGGGTGCCCCTTCCCCTACCTCTGGGGCGCTTACTAGCCATAACACGCCAACTCGAACCAGTCGTTACTAGGCCGGTTGTCCTAGCGTCGCCAGTCTCCGTTGAGATATGTAGTATACGACCTAATAGTTGTAGAGCTTACAGAAAGCGACCCATGGGTCATCAACCAGCTTCTGTTGCCAATAACGGTGTGTGTTAACCTATCTTCTCTTGGTTGCAAGTCAGCTATGCCTGTATCTACATTATTTTAAGAGTTCGCAGGCATCCCGGGGCCAATGCCATAGCCTGCAGTCCAATACATAGCTGACATGTACCTTGTAATGTTTGGACCCCAATTAACCTCGTTTTTTCCCTCAACACCAGCCATGTTACAGCAGGTCATACCCAAACTAGGCCAGCCAGCAGGTGACCACCTAACCATTGTGCCAATCGTCCGTTGCAACGCAGCCAATGCAAATAATTGTCGTTGCAAGACATGCAGCCAATGCAAATCGTTTGTTGTAACACAAACCTCCACATCAAAGCCCGCATCCCTGGTCAACACCCCATCACTGTAAGTTGAACTAGTGGTTGGCAATGAAGACAGTTTGTTGCACCACATACAACACCCGTACAGGAACGTGAACACACGCACATACAGCCATAGAAACCTCTGCCCGCCAGGATGGGCGATTGTGATGATAGATGCCACGTCCAGGCAGAGGGGCACCGTCTCAAAAGTGAAGTCCACTCAATGGCAGTTAACCATGCAGTGCGCTGAGAGCCAGAAAGAGGCCCAGCTGCCTATCACTGTATATATACAACACCAGTACCTTTTCATAAGCGTTGCATGCTTATGTGTGTGACCTTCCTGGAGCTGCGCATGGATCTGCCTTATATGTCAGCTCTAAGAAGGATGGCATGCAAACGTGCCCATAAGGCATAAGGCCCCATACTTTCGCTGTACATATGTGATCACTTTACAACATTATGCATGGCTCAAGGGAGTTTGGTCTAGTGGTATGATTCTCGCTTTGGGTGCGAGAGGTCGCGGGTTCGATTCCCGCAACTCCCCCTTTTGGGCCTTCATACGTTTTTCTTTAGCAGCTCGGGCCTTGGTCATGACATCGATGCCATCATCCCCCAGGGAAGGCCCTGCAAGTCCACGGCAGTACCCTGAAGCAGCAGAATTGCGGCAGCATTGGAATAATGTATGGGAGTCTACATACAGGGTATGGCAGCCAAAGGCCAGACCCATGGACCGTGCAATGACAAGCTCTGCTGAAAGACCTCTCCTGCCCTGCCGCCAGAAACGAACTTTTGTAGGCCTTCTCCATAACTCCTCCTTGGGGCCCGGAGGAAGAACTACGACTTCAACATTAGACACCCTTTGTTTTGGCGTGGAGGGTGTATGTAAGCAAGGGTGGGCAGGGGAGGGTGCCCCTTCCCCTACCTCTGGGGCGCTTACTAGCCATAACACGCCAACTCGAACCAGTCGTTACTAGGCCGGTTGTCCTAGCGTCGCCAGTCTCCGTTGAGATATGTAGTATACGACCTAATAGTTGTAGAGCTTACAGAAAGCGACCCATGGGTCATCAACCAGCTTCTGTTGCCAATAACGGTGTGTGTTAACCTATCTTCTCTTGGTTGCAAGTCAGCTATGCCTGTATCTACATTATTTTAAGAGTTCGCAGGCATCCCGGGGCCAATGCCATCAGCCTGCAGTCCAATACATAGCTGACATGTACCTTGTAATGTTTGGACCCCAATTAACCTCGTTTTTTCCCTCAACACCAGCCATGTTACAGCAGGTCATACCCAAACTAGGCCAGCCAGCAGGTGACCACCTAACCATTGTGCCAATCGTCCGTTGCAACGCAGCCAATGCAAATAATTGTCGTTGCAAGACATGCAGCCAATGCAAATCGTTTGTTGTAACACAAACCTCCACATCAAAGCCCGCATCCCTGGTCAACACCCCATCACTGTAAGTTGAACTAGTGGTTGGCAATGAAGACAGTTTGTTGCACCACATACAACACCCGTACAGGAACGTGAACACACGCACATACAGCCATAGAAACCTCTGCCCGCCAGGATGGGCGATTGTGATGATAGATGCCACGTCCAGGCAGAGGGGCACCGTCTCAAAAGTGAAGTCCACTCAATGGCAGTTAACCATGCAGTGCGCTGAGAGCCAGAAAGAGGCCCAGCTGCCTATCACTGTATATATACAACACCAGTACCTTTTCATAAGCGTTGCATGCTTATGTGTGTGACTTTCCTGGAGCTGCGCATGGATCTGCCTTATATGTCAGCTCTAAGAAGGATGGCATGCAAACGTGCCCATAAGGCATAAGGCCCCATACTTTCGCTGTACATATGTGATCACTTTACAACATTATGCATGGCTCAAGGGAGTTTGGTCTAGTGGTATGATTCTCGCTTTGGGTGCGAGAGGTCGCGGGTTCGATTCCCGCAACTCCCCCTTTTGGGCCTTCATACGTTTTTCTTTAGCAGCTCGGGCCTTGGTCATGACATCGATGCCATCATCCCCCAGGGAAGGCCCTGCAAGTCCACGGCAGTACCCTGAAGCAGCAGAATTGCGGCAGCATTGGAATAATGTATGGGAGTCTACATACAGGGTATGGCAGCCAAAGGCCAGACCCATGGACCGTGCAATGACAAGCTCAGCTGAAAGACCTCTCCTGCCTTGCCGCCAGAAACGAACTTTTGTAGGCCTTCTCCATAACTCCTCCTTGGGGCCCGGAGGAAGAACTACGACTTCAACATTAGACACCCTTTGTTTTGGCGTGGAGGGTGTATGTAAGCAAGGGTGGGCAGGGGAGGGTGCCCCTTCCCCTACCTCTGGGGCGCTTACTAGCCATAACACGCCAACTCGAACCAGTCGTTACTAGGCCGGTTGTCCTAGCGTCGCCAGTCTCCGTTGAGATATGTAGTATACGACCTAATAGTTGTAGAGCTTACAGAAAGCGACCCATGGGTCATCAACCAGCTTCTGTTGCCAATAACGGTGTGTGTTAACCTATCTTCTCTTGGTTGCAAGTCAGCTATGCCTGTATCTACATTATTTTAAGAGTTCGCAGGCATCCCGGGGCCAATGCCATCAGCCTGCAGTCCAATACATAGCTGACATGTACCTTGTAATGTTTGGACCCCAATTAACCTCGTTTTTTCCCTCAACACCAGCCATGTTACAGCAGGTCATACCCAAACTAGGCCAGCCAGCAGGTGACCACCTAACCATTGTGCCAATCGTCCGTTGCAACGCAGCCAATGCAAATAATTGTCGTTGCAAGACATGCAGCCAATGCAAATCGTTTGTTGTAACACAAACCTCCACATCAAAGCCCGCATCCCTGGTCAACACCCCATCACTGTAAGTTGAACTAGTGGTTGGCAATGAAGACAGTTTGTTGCACCACATACAACACCCGTACAGGAACGTGAACACACGCACATACAGCCATAGAAACCTCTGCCCGCCAGGATGGGCGATTGTGATGATAGATGCCACGTCCAGGCAGAGGGGCACCGTCTCAAAAGTGAAGTCCACTCAATGGCAGTTAACCATGCAGTGCGCTGAGAGCCAGAAAGAGGCCCAGCTGCCTATCACTGTATATATACAACACCAGTACCTTTTCATAAGCGTTGCATGCTTATGTGTGTGACTTTCCTGGAGCTGCGCATGGATCTGCCTTATATGTCAGCTCTAAGAAGGATGGCATGCAAACGTGCCCATAAGGCATAAGGCCCCATACTTTCGCTGTACATATGTGATCACTTTACAACATTATGCATGGCTCAAGGGAGTTTGGTCTAGTGGTATGATTCTCGCTTTGGGTGCGAGAGGTCGCGGGTTCGATTCCCGCAA